CCCTTGCAAGTTTTGGTAATCTTGGAAGCCTTATTTGGTAGATTGAGGAAGAAGAAGGATAAGTGATGATTGTGATTTTACTTCCCTTGAGTTCATCTTCACTCATGCAACTTTTGGACCTTGGTATGATGCAATGCTTCCATATTTTTGCTTATTTGATGCTACATCTAAATTTTAAGTTGTTTAGTGGTGTCATTTGGTCCCTTTTATGGTGTTCTTGTAGTTTGGAGAACTCCAAAACTATATGAACTATTTAATCATCTTCTGGACTTGATTGGTGTTGGAAAAATGTGTGTGCATGCTTGTCCTTTGACCATGCATGGATTTTTTTCTTTAAAAGTAGACTCTTGGACCCAGGGTTTGAGATTTAGAGTTATTAAGCCCTTAGGGTGGATAAAGTAATTAATGGATTAGGTTGTTAAATCGGGTTTAGCGAAGCAACCTGCTTGGTATTCATGGTGTGATTTCGAGACAATCCTGACTATTTTGTCAGCTAGCTATTCACAGCGTGACCTATAGAAGATTACACCGTGGATTGTGTTGACCGTCGACTTTTGACTTTTTGACATGTTTGACTCTTGAGTCAAATTTGGATGTTTTGAGCTTTAGACTGAGGTTTAGTCTGTGTTTAGTTTAGGCGATTCATGTAGTTGATTCATTGGGACTTCGGTTGGTCAAATTCAACTTTGGGTTTCAGGTGAGTTTTATCACTATACTGTAGGACATTGGGTGTCATTGATATGCTTTTTGTCTTTGTGACTCTTGCTGCATGGTATGTTATTGGGCTAGGCCCGCTTATATGATTGTTGGGTTGGACTTGTTGGTTCGGGCCTGCATATATGGTTGTTGGGCTAGGCCTATTATTATATGGTGTGTAGTATTTTGGTGAACTCACAAAGCCTTATGCTTATGGTTTTAAGTTTCAATGTTTCAGGTACTTCTAGTAGCAAGGGGTAAGGCACAACATGATTGCATCGCATCTGCTTTTATGAATTAGAGATGTTCCACACTATTGATTTAATTAAGACTCTGATTTATGTTGTCAAAACAACTGGTAGAGTGTTCTTTATGAATGAAAATGGTGTTGGCAATTTTAGTGTTATTAACATATTTTAGTGTAGTTATGATTAATATCGAGATAGGCTGAGTTCCATTTACTCACTGAGACAAGAGGTGTGAGGTGCACACTCGGAGTGATAATTGAGAAATCGGGAATATGGGGGTCCGGGGGCAGTGCCACTAGGTGTAGGGTTCCAAGGGGTTGCGCCCCTGGCGTGGTCTAGGAGCAGTGCCCCTAACGGGGTTTAAGGGTCCAAGGGGCAGCGCCTCGAAACCTAAATGGATTTCTATGTCAGGAAAGACTCCAACCATGCATTTCCCGTCAAAAATAGGTTGTGAGATCACGATGATGTCAGATTCGGTTATGTCTAAATAACTATATTTTTAACCATCATTTTGGCGCTAAAACTACATGTAACCACCATTAACTACCTTTCCCTCCAGCGCTAAATATGCATGTAACCACCATTAACTACCTTTTCCTCCGGCGCTAAATCTGCATGTAACCACCATTAACTACCTTTCCCTCCGGTATAAGAACATATTGTATGTTCCAGAAAAAGGGTTACGTTCTCTACACTCAAAATTTGTTCATCAGATTCTCTCTATCTTATCAAACACAAATAATAAGGTACTTTGTGTGTTTCAGATTTAGAAGTGGCCTAACTTTTAAATTGTCATTCTTGACTTACCCCAAATCAGATTTTGTGGTACCCCAGGCTATACGGTCGAAATCACATATTTGATAAAGTGATTGCAATAACGATCCTAAAAAAATATCCATATATATTGATATTCCTAAGACCCAAAATCTAAAAAAATGGTATGATTTCCTTTGATTTAAAAATGGAAATTTGGTTTGGGAATTTGAAATGCTACACTTTATACATGTGATTGAGGTCTTGTGTTTAAAACTTTGATGTGTGCCCACAAAATTTTATTTTGCCAGCAATAAGACACGTCCCAAATCGCCCAAAATAAAAAGTATCCACACTTTTCATCTCTTATATTAAGTGTAGGCGGACATATCATCCAAGATAAGAAAACATCCATTATCCTTAACTTGATATAATGATTCATCATTTCTCATAGAGTTAGATTGGGATTAGCATTGAGTTTAGGTTTAAACCCGAAACCGAACCATGAAAAAAACAAAAACCGAGAAACCGAACCAATGGGTTTGGGTTCGGTGTGTGCCCACAAGTTTTTATTTTGCCAGCAATAAGACACGTCCCACATCGCCCAAAATAAAAAGTATCCACACTTTTCATCTCTTATATTAAGTGTAGGCATCCCACATCATCTAAGATAAGAAAACATCCATTATCCTTAACTTGATATAATGATTCATCATTTCTCATAGAGTTAGATTGGGATTAGCATTGAGTTTAGGTTTAAACCCGAAACCGAACCATGAAAAAACCAAAAACCGAGAAACCGAACCAATGGGTTTGGGTTTGGGTTCGGTGTTATGGGTTGTGTTCGATTTTAGGTGGGAACCGACTCAAACCAATCTATGCTTACTCCTGGTATATTGTTGTATTTATAAGATACATTTTGTAGGTATTTTCATCTAAGAAATATCACTTTGGTTGAAAATTTGTTTGATGTCCACTTAGGATGGTTGTGTTGAGTAATTTCCAGGCACTCACGGGTATGTTTTTGAAACATTTTATTTGCATCGTGAGTACGTCCTTGAAGCGATAATGGTTGCTCGTTGTTCGCAGAAACTTTGGACAAAATACAGACAAAAACGATGAGAATAAAATTTAAATAAGATGACCTTTGTTCTCTCACTCGCGAGTTGCAAGCATATGTTTGTGGGGCACATGATCATTTTGTTAAATAAAAGAAATATAGGTTAGGAAAAATATATAGACCTAAGGGAGGAGAGAGTCATTCCATTCCAACCTACCGAACCCACTGTCACATCACTTTTTCTCATTTATTTTTCATCATCTTTCCCAACCCACAACACACGAAAACCCTATCTTTTTGAACTCACTCAACCCATTCAATTAAAAAAAATACTCCCTCCGTCCCAAAATTATAGTCCATCTTTCCTTTTTGGTTTTTCCCAAAATAATAGTCGACTTCTAAAAATAAATAACATTTTTACCAAAATACCCCACTTAACCAACTAAGCATTTAATGGAACATTAAATGCAAAGTAAAGACAAAACTGTCATTTTATTAAATAAATTTGATGGTAATTAATGTTTTTTCTTAATATGTGTGTTTTTTGTCTGTAGACAATAATATTGGGACGGAGGGAGTACAAAATAATCAAAAGTAAAATCTTAATTAATAATAGAGTTACCGGCGGTACCACTCCCGCTTCAACGGGTTGGTTAATTGGTTTCACTAACTCACTTCATCATCTCTCTCTACTTTTTCTCTTTAATTTTCTCTTGTACCATGTGTTTTAAAACTTATAACTTAGTTGTTTTAAGATTTTAAAACTTGTAACTCTTGTACCACTTTCTCTCTACTTCATCATCTCTCTCTACTTTTTCTTTTATTAAATAAAGTTAATGATAATTAATGTTTTTTCTTAATATGTGTGTTTTTTGTCTGTGGACAATAATATTGGGACGGAAGGAGTACAAAATATTCAAAAGTAAAATCTTAATTAACAATAGAGTTACCGGCGGTACCACTCCCGCTTCAACGGATTGGTTAATTGGTTTCACTAACTCACTTCATCATCTCTCTCTACTTTTTCTCTCTCATTTTCTCTTGTATCATGTGTTTTAAAACTTGTAACTTAGTTGTTTTGTATTTTTTTTAATTGAGGGGGTTGAGTGGGTTGAAAAAGATAGGATTTCCGTGTGTTGTGGGTTGGGAAAGATGAAGAAAAAGAAGAGACAAAAATTGATGTGACAGTGGATTCAGTGGGTTGGGAGGGAACGGCTCCCTCCTCCCTAATACATGATATTTCAGTGAATAACTACAAAATATATTACTTACATTAGTAGCGATACATAGTTGATACTAGTCGAGTCAAGTGTCACTAATGATATGTCGTTATAATTGATAAAATAAAATTCTGATTCTCCAAATCAGCTTTTCAAAAATACCCTTCCTTTTGTTAGATTTGTCTTCTGTCTTCCTATCTTCATTGTACAGTCCATTTCAACACCTTCCAACCCCATGCATACATTATATTATTCAAATTTTTTATGCTTTCTTTTATTATTTATATTTAAAACTATATATATTTTCATAAGAATTGGAATAAGAATAAGTCCCTAGATTTTCCTAATGCAAATGATCTCTAGCTATACTTAAACAGGGTATCAAATCTGTTACATCTTAATCACAAATCACACATTCCTAGTTTTAATACTAATTTTTTGTTTACTTTGGAATCTTATAACTATGATAATTAAAATATCTAATCATTATATACTTGATTTTTTCTAATATGGTGAAATTTATAAAGTAATTGGTTGTTTGATATGCATTTTATTGGATCCGGTAAGTGGTTGAGTCTCACTAGGTAAGATTCACACGATTTAATTTCACATTTAAAAGCAACTTATTGTCTTCGCTCCTCTTAAATGTCTCTTACTTGGTAAGATAAACCTTACATGCCTCTTGTTGAGATACAAGGATTAGTCTTAATTGGTTAGACCTTAACTAGGTCATACATTGACTCTCAATGAATCAGACATGACTTCACCAACTAAAACCTCTTAAATTTCAACATATGTCGAAGATCCCATAAGATCAAATTTGTGGGTTTTCTCTAGATTCGTCCATGTTTCTTAACACAATCAACAATCTTTAACCATTATCGATGACATTTTCTGAAGTGGGATTAAACAAAATCAGATAAAGGTACAATCTTTAATGCACAATATACATCGGGTCATCATGACAAATTTAACAAAGCATTCGCCAGTGACCTTTTCCAAATAAATGTTCCCTGTTCCACCATTCTTTGTAACAGTATATAGGAATATTAAGAGGGGGCTACAGAGAGATGCCAAAGTAAACTTTCTTTTTCGCCATCAAAAAACCCCACATGAACGCACAGTTTATTATTTTCAATTTCATGTGAACAAATTAAAGCTTCAATTTTCATGTCTATGTCCATTGAAGAACATGATTACATAGGGTTGTCAGAGGCAAACATGGAGAAAAAAGCCTGCGATATAACCGATAATAAAGATTTGAATTTAAAGGCCACTGAATTGAGACTTGGGTTGCCTGGTTCGGAGTCGCCGGAAAGAGAGGCTGTTAACGGAGGTCCAATCAAGAATTTGGTGGCCGGAGCTAAAAGGGGTTTCTCTGATACCATTAATGGTGGTTCTGGGAAATGGGTTTTCGCTGGTAATGGTGGATCTGAGGTTGATTTGGTTAAAAATGGCGGATTGTTTTCTTGTTCGAAAGTTGAAAACAAGAACTCCGGTTGTGTAAAAGAGACTGCTGTTTTGGCTTCTCCGAAGCCTGTTTTACTTGAAAACAAGTCTCAAGTTTCTGTAAATGCAAATGTTCCTGCTCCAAAGTAAGGATTTTTACGTATGAATTTCAATTTTAAGTAGCTTTCGAAGTTCGAACTGAAATTTGATCTAAAAATTGTTTGCGTGAAACCAGTTTAGAAATTGAGATACTATTGGAGTTGGAAAGTTGTTTGATTGACTTTCAAAGTCGGCTCTTTCAAGAATCATGGAATCTAATCATGCAATCTTTTTTCCTTTTAATTTACCATATAATTTGTTATGAGTTTTGCATGGTTTCTTGAATGAGATTTTTGATCCATGATTTCTAGAAAATCAACTTACTGGTTTGTGGAATTCAAAATTAACCCTTACAATCCTCATTTTGCAACTCCAAAATGTTTTAATTTCATATAAAATATGTGATCGATCAAATTTCATTTGAAGTTTTATGCAAAAGAAAATTACTCTCATGGATAATCAAAGTTAAGAGGAAACTCATTTGACAATTTGACATCAAAAAGTCAAACATACCAATTTTGCATGCTTTTTCTTTCTAATTAAATCTTTATTTCCTTTTTCGTGGATTTATATGTGTATGATTCAGGCAACAAGTTGTAGGATGGCCTCCAATTAGATCCTTTCGTAAGAACACCATGGCTGTTAACCAAACAAAGAACCAAGAAGATAAGGATCCAAAAATGGGATCGGGTTGTCTTTATGTGAAGGTGAGCATGGATGGAGCTCCATATTTGAGGAAAGTAGATCTCCAGATGTACTCTAGCTACTTGGATCTTTCTTCGGCTCTTGAAAAAATGTTTAGCTGCTTTACAATTGGTAATCTCATTTGAATTTTGATGCGTCTTTTATGTCTTTTATGTTATCTAAAATAAATTTGAAGGACGACTTTTGGTATATATGCTAATCCATGTCGGCCAAATATGAAAAATATTGTCATATAAAAAAGTAAAGTTGATGATGCTTGTGTGTTGTGACCTTAGTGGACTTAAAGAGAGTAAGTGCGAAGGGACTTTGTCTTTGTGATTAGGATTGGGTAAAATAGTAAAAGATATAAGTTTGTTTTAGGGTGGTATACTTGTAGAAAGGACTTGAGTCCCATCAACTTTAATATGAAAATTCAAAATTAATTATATATTTTTATGTCAACCATCTAACAACTGTTGCGTACCAGACTGACACATAATTGGATTCGTAATTATTGGAAGAATAATTTTTTTTTTCGTTAGAAACATGGACATTTGTACGTGTAGGAGTGAAGTGGTAGTTTTTCTTGACAAATATGTACACATTTTATATATAAGTTTACTTTGGGTGTATTTGGGCCACGTGGGCCACAGATTGTTAGAGAAAAAACAATATAGTAGTATAATTATGTGGGTATGGGGATATGGGCTGGCTCTCTTGGGCTTAACATTGAAGTAACGTCTTTTCTTTGCACTTTGATGATTTGGATCTTAGATGTTAATTCTATAATCTGTTAAGTATCCTACTTTAAGTTTCGTCCTTTCTTAAATCCGGAGAATCATTCCCGTATAGAAATCTGTGAAACACTATGTTTTATTATATTTAGACATATATGCATGTGTTTGAAGCATAATGAATTCAATTATGATCGAATTTTTAGGTCAATATGGTAGCCATGGAGCTCACACAAGAGACGGATTAAGTGAGAGTCGACTAATGGACCTACTTCATGGTTCTGAGTATGTATTGACCTATGAAGATAAAGATGGCGATTGGATGCTCGTAGGTGATGTTCCATGGGAGTAAGTTCCAATTCCCTTAACACAGTTGGTTCCAGAATGGTATGGTCAAGGGTTCGAGTCTCAACAGTCATAAGTGTCAAAGTTCTAATTCCAATATGAATATGGCTCCTTGTGGTCAACGAGTCCTTATGCTAGCACCTTGTGGTCAAATGTGTATCTCATTACATATCATACATGCTCCGGACACGGGGTAGTGTGGGTCAGCTCAAGAAGAATAACCATTTTGCAAATACATTAATAAATTATTTGATACTAGTGTCGCAAACCCTAATGAATTTTCATTGATGCAGTATGTTCATTGGCTCTTGTAAGAGGATGAGGATCATGAAAAGTTCAGATGCAATTGGCTTAGGTAAAATCTTGATATGATTCTTGATTTTTCATCTAAAAATCAAGAAACCCAAAACCTTGCTTATTCAACTAAAAAGCAAGAACCCCGAAAAATCAATGGTTGCTCCGATATGATTTTTGTCAAGATTTGAATAAAAAAATTAATTGTATTGTTTGATGTCTTGTTTTGCAGCCCCTCGAGCTATGGAGAAGTGCCGAAACCGAACTTAGAACAATAACTACCAAAATTATGTTTGTGTAAAGATCAATTCTCTTGGAAGAATTCCAATGGGGTCTTGCTCTAGAAAGGCTGGAAACAAAGCTTTAATTTGGACTCTAAAGTCTTCAAATTGTATTATATTAATACTTGTGTTGAGTGTAACTAGAAGAGTGACGCCATTTTGGCACAAGACATGTATTACATCTATGACTTCTACATATACTTGTTATGTTTCTTAATTTTAATATATGTTGAAAAGGGTAAGCTCGAATATGTATTTATGATATTTGTATCCATAACATGAAGATTTTAGGTTAGCTGAAGTGAAAGTACAAGTGTATGGACATTGCGAGTATGTTGTAGAAGTACAAGGGCTTGGGGGAAATGTTTTTGGGTAGTGTCATGGCAGTTGAAGTTAGTTAGAATTGTAAAATAAGGTGCTGTAAAGTAAAGATATGAAAATGTAATATACATTATTTAATAAGTAGAACTACACATATTATATTAATGATCTTAACTTAATTGATGTGGATATATAAAAACAATGTACCGGTTATTTTGGGTCTTACAATAAAGTTTAGGTTCTAACTGTGAAAGTATACAAAAATGTTTGACTTTTGATACCTTTTAAAACCCAACGTATGCAGATTTTTGAGGTTTTAGTCTAAACCATGAGTTTTTTGGATCCATGGTCTAAATTTTGGATCCATGGTCCTTTTAAAATGGTTTGTATGTGGTTTTGGTCCTCGACTCAGAGGCGAACCTATGTATACTAAAAGGGTGTCCTTGGACACCCCTTACTTTGAAATTGTATTTAGAAAATATATGAGATTTTTAGAAGGACACCCTTGAAATTTTTAGGACACCTATGAATTTTTTAACCAAACTAAATCAATAATCCATATATAACTGTAAGATACTATAAAAACTTATAACATGGAAACGGTGAGAAAAAAAAGGAAACACAAAGTGAGAAAAAAATAAGAAAATATTAGTACCAAGTACCAACCAATTTCACAACCTAACGATTTCACAAAATCATTGATTTTCCATATAATTCGAGTTTCCCGGATCGTACACTGCCACTGGCCGCCGTCCTTAACCTCCATAACTCTACCGCTATCCGGCTCTTCGGCGGCCGCCACTACATACAACCTAACGATTTCACAAAATCATTGATTTTCCATATAATTCGAGTTTCCCGGATCGTACACTGCCACTGGCCGCCGTCCTTAACCTCCATAACTCTACCGCTATCCGCTCTTCGGCGGCCGCCACTACATCCCGTCGCTTCCCTATTTAACTTTGTTCAGTCTCTGTCGTCCATCGACATCTGCTTCTGCACCCTTCTCCACCTCTCCGGTTGGTGATATTTATTCTTCAAAATCAGGGATTAGTCTTTCTTCTCTTGGAAATCATGTAGGTGGTTTTTGAGTGAGGAGTGAATGAGATTTGGAAAAGTATTTCTCTGTAAACTGAAAAGTAGGAGAAAAAGCATGTTGTCTGCAATTGATAAAGGTACTAGCGATTTTTACTATTCCTATTAATTTATGATATTTCAAATATACTATTACTTAAATTCAATATAGGGTTTCTGTATTTATTATTTTCCATATTTTTATTAGATTATTTAAGTTTTTTTTGACATTAGAAGATCTAAATTGAAACTAACTTAAGTATAGACCAAGTGCATTATTATCTATCATAAATGTCTCGGTAATAAGTAATCTCAACTCAATGGCATACTCCAAATAAGATGTGATGTTAATTCATGTCCATAGCTTATATTAAATAATAAATATGAGTATCAGTAGCTTATATTACATAATTAGTAGCTTATATTGACTCACATGGTATTATCGATAACCCGACCCGATAAAAATATATATTTCTTCCAAAAAATTTAGTCACCCAATTTGAAGTGGACACCCTTTAGTTCAAATCCTAGATTTGCCACTGCCTGGACTCAACTACCGTTAAATAGGATCTGTTAAGCCCCCTCATGTGCCTCACACGTGAGGGTAAATTCGTCATTTCATATGTAAGGGACCATTTTTGCATAAACCGTTTTTTGACTTAATTGACCTTTACCCCTCATTTACTTTTCCCAACACCCGTTAACTCCCCAACTCCCTCCTTCCTGCTTCTGCTCCATTGAACCTGCAAAAAACCCTCGTTGCTTATCCAAATAAGTTAATTGACGCTACACATACAAGGGCATTCGTTTAATACGAAATGGTGTTCGTAATGTGGCATATCAGACCGAAACATGAAGTTGTTGATGTATCAACCGTGTATGGTAAGTTGCTCTGTTTTCTTTAATTTTCATATTTTTCATTTTCTTATTGATTTAGAACAAAAAAATGCAAAATTTTGACTTTGTTAATATGTACGATTTTGATTTTTAGCGGGTGCACCAACATGGTTTAGTATTAAGCTTCATCACGGTGGGAAATTTACTAAGTTACCTGATATAAAGTACATTGGAGGTGAAGTGTGTTATGTTGATTACGTGGACATAGATGAGTTTTCTGTACATGAACTTGATGCCGTAATGCTTGACCTAGGTTACCCAGACCCACAGAATTCTGATTTCGCTGATGAATCCCCAGTGATATACTACCATTTTAGGATACCCAATGGTGACTTTCAATTTGGTCTTAGAGCTTTAGGGAAGATCAGGATGTGATCAACCTTTCTAAATACATTGCACATAACAAGCTGATTGAGGTGTACACAGAGCATGGGAAGACAAATTTATTGACTTACTTCATGTCTCCAAATTCAAAGGGTAAAGTTGCCATTGAGGAATTACCAGAAAATGAAAATCAAGGGGCTGAAGTTGAGGGTCAAGTTCATGCAGAATCTCCATCGAAAAATATGAACCATGGTAATGATGAGCCTATTGGTGAGTTCATGTCTCTGATTCTTTTTGGGAGTAAGAATGATAGTTTCTCACCAGAGTATACAAGGGGTAGAGTTGGGAATTCCAAAAGAGGTGAAGGTTCTTGTAGCAAGAGGCTTAATTTAAATTATATTGATGAGGGTGTTCACATATCAAAGGAAAAGAATGATGATTAGGATGGTTCAACTGATGTTCAGGAGGCAGCAACTTCTGTTCATATTGATGAGATGGATGGTGTTAGGGAGGCTGCAACTATTGTTGAAGAGGCATCAACTGTTGTTGAAGGATGCTACAACACCCTCTATTAATAATGATGATCAACAATTGAATGAGCTATTTGATAACCTTATGGAAAATTTGATTGGAAGTGATGAGGATAATGTAGAGTATGAAGGGGATGGAGAATCTGAAGAGGGTAATCCAGAGTATGAAGAGGATGATGAATCTCAATAAAGTGATCCACAGTATGAGGAGGATGATGATTCTCAAGATAGTGATCCAGGGTATGAAGAAGATGAAGATCATGTGGATGACATAATGGATGTTGACAACAATATTCAGGATGTGGATGTGGACATGGGAGACTTCACTCTCAATGTTGAAAGTGATGTGGAAGGTTCTTGTATAAATGTTGTTCATAGGCATGAACCTGAAGATATGGAAGTGATCAACAATGAGGAATTCAAATCTTTGGATGAAGGATCTGACCAAGACAGAGAGAGAATAGCTCTTATCAAGAATTTGAGAAAAGAAAAAAGGTGTAGCCTTGGGGCAGTACATAAACAAACATTTTCAGTTGGAGATAAATTTAATAGTAAAAAGGAATTAAAGGAGGCAATTGATCTGCATGCACTAGAATCAAGAAGGAATCTTTTCTTTAAAAAAAATGACAATGTAAGGCTTAGGGCACAGTGTAGTGGAGTTCTACCTGTCACCAATAAAGGCCAAGTGGGTAGTCAAGCTACCACTTCAAAAAGAAAGGATAAAGAATTAAAGACACAAAAAGTAACATGTGGTTGGTATATTCATGCATCTAGGTCAAATCCTGAATCCGACTGGTTTATAAGGACCTTAAACCAAACTCACACATGTTTGAAAAAAAGGAAACTCAGGGCTTGTACTGCTTCTTTAATCAGCAAGGAAATCTTTGATCAAGTTGAGGCAAATCCAGATATACCTTTGAGAGCCATACAAGATCACTTTCAAAAGACCTACCAAGTGGGTATTAGTATGGACAAGGTGTTCAGGGCAAAGGATAAGGCAAGAAAGCATATAACTGGGGGCTACACAAAGCAGTATGAATTGTTGAGGCACTATGTTCTTGAACTTCAAGCTACGAACCCAAACACCATAGTGAAAATAGATGTATGTTCTTAGCCTAACCCTGATTCCCCAACCAGGCAGTTTAGAAGAATTTATGTGTGTTTGGGTCCACTGAAGAAAGGTTTCAAGGCATGCCTTAGGTTTTGATGGTTCCTTCATGAAAGGACCATTTCGTGAGCAGGTCCTTTCAGCAGTTGGTCTTGATTCCAATAATGGAATTTACCCATTAGCATATGGGATTGTTGAGTCTGAAACACAAAAAGCTGGAAGTGGTTTTTAGAAAACCTTGGGGATGACTTGGACCTTGGAAGAAACTGAAATTTCACTTTCATAAGTGACATGCAAAAGGTAAAGAAAATTTATACATTTGGTCATTTAAGATGTGTGGTTTTTAGTTAACTCTAATTATTGTCAATTGATTCATGTAGGGTTTACAAAGTGCAGTTGAACAGTTGTTTCCCAATGTTGAGCATAGATATTGTATCAGACATATTCATGACAATATGAGGAAGAGGTGGAGACAAACAGAGTATAAGGACCACTTATGGAGGTGTGCACCAACTACCACCATTCCTGAGTTTGAACATTTGATGAAGGAGTTTAGTCAATATGATAAGGAGGCATGTGAATGGTTGAAGCAAATTCCTCCTGCACATTGGGCAAGGAGTCACTTTTCAGGTAATTCAATATATTCCAATTTGGTCCTTATGTCTTTCACTCAGTGAACTGTTTTACTTGTATGTTAATTGTATTAACTTATTTTCAATGGTAATGTACAACAGGAAGAGCGGTTTCTGATGTCTTGATATCAAATATGTGTGAAGTGTTTAATGGGAAGATAGACAAAGGAAAGGATAAACCTGTCATTGGATGTCTAGAATACATAAGGGAGTATCTAATGAAGAGGATATGCAATGTCATGAAGGAAATGAAAAAGCTAAAGGTACACTAACACCCACAGCAACAGA